CTGCTTCTCCCTCTGCCTCTCTCTCTCTCTCTCTATCTCTCATGAATAAATAATTAAAATCTTAAAAAAAAAAAAAGCCTCTAATTGCTTCCTTTTCCACTTTGAACAAAAGCCAGAGTCGTTATCATGTCCTGAAACACCTTCCACGATCCGGCTCCCGCTCACCTCAGCAGCCTCATTTCCTGCCTCCCGGTTGCCCATCTCTGTCCCACACTGCATTAGCCTAAAAGCTCTTTTTCCATACACTGCGACTGCACCCCTTTTATGCAGGGTCCTGAAGCTGATTCCTCCCCGTGCTCGAAATGTCCAGACTCCTCTTCCACTCTCTACGTGGCTGGCTTCTCCTAATCCCTCAGTTCTGGCTTGGATGTCACCAGCTCCGAGTGATCTTTCCCACCAGGTCAGGACCCTCGTGCATCCTCACGTTGCGTCTTTCATGTTTGAAAGGATCCGATCCACGTCTCTGCCGTCTGTATTGTCTGCCTCTCTCCTCAGATCATGTGTGCCCTGGAGGGGCCACGTCTGTCTCATCCACGGCCATCTGCCCGTCCTACGCAGCCAACCGATTCTTGCTGAAGGAAAGAATAAAAAAACCTTTGTCATCTTCATCAATATCTAGGGTAAATGCACTTTCTCATCACAGTTCTTAGAGCAAGATCTCAGCATGCAGGAGCCCTCACAGGACCCAGATTCACCCAGCCGCTTTCCCGAAATGCCCCAGCCCAGACTCGTGTCTGACAATATAGCAGGAGACCTAAGGAGGGGAGAGAGCCCCAGGGCTGGCCTGGTCTCTCATCCTCCAGGCCTAAGTTTATCTGGGAAATGAGGTGTGGTTCTGGAAACCTCCTCGGACCCTTACCAGCCCTGGAACCGCTCCCAGTCTGCTGAGGCGGCCACAGCCTGACTCACAGAACACGGGGTCCCAGCAACAGATGCCGGGGCGGAGCCCCAGTCTGGAGATCATGGACCCTTGGGGTCAAATTCTGGCCTTGCTTCCAGCTGCCTGTCTGGGGACATATCAGCTGCTACTATTCATCACTATCTTTACCTTTGCCATGAGCCAGGTGTCTTCTCCCCTGGGGCAAGCCCACTGCAGTCTCTTTCCAGAAGCATTCCTTTTCCAGCATAAGGCTCCCTGTTGGCCAGATTCTATTCCATGCCCAGCTTTGACTCAGTAATCATTTACATGGTAAACTGCAAAGAATAAAGTACTTTTGTACATGGTCAACATGTAAGAACAAAGGTTGCAACAACATGCATGGACCTGTAGGGCATTATGCAAACCGAGATAAGCCAGAGAAAAGACAAATACCGTATGATATCACTTACGTGTGGAATCTGAGAAAGCAGAACTCTGGGTGCCTGGGTGGCTCAGATGGTTAAGCGTGTGCCTTCCGCTCAGGTCATGTTCTCAGGGTCCTGGGATCGGGTCCTGCATTGGGCTCCCTGCTCAGTTGGGAGCCTGCTTCTCCCTCTGCCTCTCTCTCTCTCTGTCTCTTATGAATAAATAAATAAGGGCGCCTGGGTGGCTCAGTCGTTAAGCGTCTGCCTTCGGCTCAGGTCATGATCCCAGGGTCCTGGGATCCAGCCCCACATCGGGCTCTCTGCTCCGCGGGAAGCCTGCTTCTCCCTCTCCCACTCCCCCTGCTTGTGTTCCCTCTCTCGCTGTGGGTCTCTCTCTGTCAAATAAATAAATAAAATCTTAAAAATAAATAAATAAAACTAAAAAAGCTGACCTCCTAGAAACTCAGAGTAGAATGGCGGTTACCAGGGGGTGGGAAAAGTGGGGAGATGTGGTCAAAGGGTACAAACTTGCAACTAGTAGATAAATAAGTCTTGGAGATGTAACCCACAGCATTGTGATTATAATTCGTAATGCTGTATTATAAACTTCAGAGTTGCTAAAAGACTAGATCTTAATTATTCTCACTATAGTGAAATGGTAAGTGTTATGACATGATGGAGATGTTAGCTAATGCTATAGCAATATATAAATGTATCAAATCAGGTGATAATATTGCAATATATAAATGTATCAAATCAGGTAACAATATTGCAACATATGAATGTATCAAATCAGGTAACAAT